AGCAAGGCCCTTAACCCCCACCATCTGCTCCCCTGGGCATCCTAGATAGCAGCTCTCTGCTCCACACAGAGGGCTGTGGTAGCTCAGTGGTCTGTGGTTGCGTTAGGAAGGGCATTCGGCATAACAACAATCGCCCAATCTTCGTGCGAGATAGTTCGCTGTGGTGGCCCTTGAAGAAGGGAGCAGCTGAAAGATCTATATGCATGTATGCACGTACATATGCATGTATTGTATTTTTTGGTCTATAAGTCAGTTTTTTTTGTTGCATAATTTACATGCCCTGCGACTTATAGGCCGAAGCGACATATTTATGGATTTTTTTGCATATTTATAAACCATTTTTTTTGCTGAGATATGACCATTTTTATTTATTCTGACTGAAAAAGAAATTTGAGCAGTACCACTTTCAGCCACTTGATGGCAGCAGAGTAGTAATAGTTGTATGTCATGCTGTTGTATCATGTAATAGGTAAATGTGGTTACGACATTCAAAAAAAGTTCGACAAAAACAACTAGACTTTATTAAATATACTTTATTTTATACTTTTTTTTTCCTTGAACTGTTTTGAATTTACCATGTCCTGTATGACTGAGAATCTTCACCAGCTATTAATGACTCAGTCGGCCTGCCTTAGTTCTCCCCACCTTCGTTCTGCTTGTTGCTTGGAACCGTCAAAACAGCTGCACCGCCCCGGCAAAATGCAGCTAATTTGACCATTAAAGTGCATTTATTAAGCAAATGTTAGACTGAGACACCTTTGCTATAATTTCGAGCAAACAAATAATTGTTTAGGTGCTTTTCTTGTTAATTTTCTGAGAAACGAGCCCTGTTCCTCCTTTTTTCCTCCCTATCTACATGCTCCCGGGAGCACCTTAGCAGCAAAAATATTTTTGAAATGCAGCTGATTTGACCAGTAAAGAGCATATATTAAGTAAATGTTGCTCTGAGACACGCCTTTGCTATAATTTTGAGCAAACAAATAATTGTTTTTAAGTGTTAATCTTGTTAAATTCTTGTTAAAGTCCTCCCGTGCACGCCCCTGCGGCCGTCATTTGGCAGCCAATCCATTTTTGGCGCAACATTTTCGGGTTCGGACCACATTTCTGGGTTGTCAGCGTTGATGCGTAACAAAAACGACGTATACGGCGAAGCAACATATTTATGGATTTTTCCACTTTATTAGACAAATATGGACTGATGCGACTTATAGGGCGGTGCGACGCATCTGGAAAATACGGTATGTATGCGCGTATGCATGCATGACCACCACATGTTAGGGGCGGTCAAATGATAGGGACAGTCGATTTACGTACATGCATAATAAACCGACCACCCCTATTATTTGAGGAAAGTAAGCTTTCTAGTTTTTATAAAACTTAAAAGTATAGTTTCTTCAAATGACTTGGGTGGCGAAAGTTTAATATATGGGGGTCAAAGCCACCATCGGCCACCCCTTGCCTCCTCCTTTGTGCCTGGTGAATGCGCTTTCCACTTGCACGTATCGCCAGGATGCAACTCCTAGCCACTTCACTGTCTTCCACCAAAAACATTTAGGTTTACTTGCATTTCCATTCTCCATTCCCAATTCCAATCGAGAAAAACACTCATCTCCAAAACTTAATTCGCTTTGCAAGTTCCTTATTTACTGGGGACATCGGAGTACCACTGGTTCACCGCAACCCTCTGACCGAACCCCACGGTGAATGACCTAAATTATGGCATTAACGTCAGGCGTGAATTCAGACTGATTTAGTCCCATCAGGATCTCTCAAATAAGCTGTTCACTCTAAATGTTTTTTAATCAAACCTCCACTGTTCAGGTTTAACTCTAACCCCGATGAACGCTAGTTACAACAGAGGAAAAGTAATTTCCACCAGTTTACACCTATAAGCTCCCACTTGTCAGCCGTTTCATATCGAAGTGACTAAATGGATCAGTGTGTCACAGCTCGTCAAGATTTCCTTACACTCCATTACCTTTAGTGACTTTGACTGTAAATGCAGAGAACCCCCCAATCAGCCTAAAGGCTTCACACTGCCTTTTGTTTTAATTAATATCATGCAGAACAAAATAGAGCTGTCAGGAAGAGGAGACAGAAATCTGGGGGTTGGGGATCATAGCAACTTGAGGAGGGAGCTCCTATTATTATGAATTTCCCTAAAATCTTTTGAAGGATTTGCCCGTCCTTCAGGTTTATGTCCTTATGAGACATGGATCTGAATTCCTGGTTCAAGGGGCCTGACGCAAGGCTTCTGCAACTGCTCTCCGGGTGCTCAGATCTTTAAATCTGTAACAAGTGGTAACATATGTGCATACTAAATTTACTTCTTCAGCAATGCGAGAGGTGGGCGATACAGTTTTTGCCCTTGTCTGTTTCTTCTGGTGTTTGTCTGTTAGAAAAGCACCTTATGAAACAGTGGATGGGTTTTAAACAAAACCTTCATAAGGTTATTATTGGATGTACCTCAACAAATAACTTTTTGAGACAACCTAATCCATTATGGCCTCCACAGCTAATCTACCTTAGCAAACACAGAAATGGTTAAAACTCAATTTGTCCAACAACTTATGAGCTAAGAAGTGATGTGTGGGTGACGGAGAGTCATTCACATATACACACATTTTCTTGATAAGTTAGGGTTGTGGTGAACTTTATAAGCCAGACCTATCAGTGTGTCCTTCCATCAGTCCAACAGTCCATCATTTTGTCCGTCCAATCAATCAATCGTCCTAGTCTTGTTCTGGAGTCGGATCTTGGGAGCAGCAGTTTGAGCAGGGAAGCCCAGACATATCTGTCCACCGCCACGTCTTCCAGCTCTTCTGGGAGGACTCCAAGGTGTGTCCGGTGTTCCCTGACCAGCTAAGAGACATGGTCTCTTCAGCGTGTCCTGGGTCGTCTGTGGTGTCTCCTTGCATTTGGACATGGCTGTAAAACCTCCCTACGGAGGCGTCCAGGGTCTATCCTGACAAGATGTCTGAACTACCTCAACTGGCTCCTCTCGATGTCGAGGAGCAGTGCTTCTACTCCAAGTCTCTCCTGGAGAACTGAACGTCTCACCCTATCTCTAAGGGAGAGTCCAGCTACCCTGCAGAAAACTCATTTAGACCACCTGGATCCAGGATCTCTTTCTTTCGGTCACTACCCAGAGTTCATGACCATAGGTGAGGGTAAGAACGTAGACCGACTGTAAACGCAGAACTTCTTGCAACTCCTCACCTCATTGATCCAATGTATCATATTTTCCACCGTATACTAATAAAGTGAAAAAATATATAAATATGTCACTTTGCCGTATAAATCGCATCTATTATGCGTCACCGCTGACAACCAGGAAATGTGGGCCTTTGTTGTGCCAAAAATCAATTGGCTGCCAAATGGCGGCTGCGGGAGCGTGCATGAGAGGACTTAAACAAGAATTTAACAATATCAACACTTAAGGTGTATCTCAGATTAACTTTTGATTAATAAATGCACTTTTACGGTAAAATCAGATGCATTTCAAAAGCCAGTTCATGGAAGAAGGAGCGCGCAGAGGGAATTTTTTTGTTTGCTGTGCATTTCTTAGACGTTTACCAAGATAATCACCTATAAACAACTGTTTGCTCTACTTTATAGCAAAGTGTCTCAGTTGAACTTTTCCTTAATAAATGCACTTTGACGGTCAAATCAGCTGCATTTCTCCTGGGCGTCGCGGCAAAATGCAGCTGATTTGACGTTTGCTCCAGGAGTTCCGGAGTGAGACGAAGGTGGCCCTATGGCAAGCCAAGTGTCTCATTTATAGCCACTTTTACCTATTAATGAGACACTTGGCTTGCCATATTAGTCGAGGGTCCTCTAGTGGCTGAAAATGGTAGTGTTCAATATTTTCCATGTCAGAATGAATGAAATCGTCAGATCTCAGCCAAAAATTGGGTTATACATATGGGGAAAAAAAGCATAAATATATTTCTTCGCTGTATAAATCGCAGGGCATGTAAATTTATGCAAAAAACTATGACTTATACAGCAAAAAATACAGTAGTATACAGTCTTGTAAATCCGCTACAGTCCATTGAGGTGACTTGGTGTTTACTAATGGAGCCCGGTCTGGCTTTGCCTTCCTATGGGTTCACAACCTGTAGGAGGGACTATGGGTGGCAGCTGAAAATGGGGGTGGGGGGCCTTAGTGCTCTGACTCTGGCTTACCACAAGAGTTGCATTCCTATTCCCCAAAAACGGTAGAGCAGTATTCTGCCCGTCTTCCCTGGGTGACTCTACCCTAGATTTGCATCATTTAATAAGAGACATTTTCACCTCCTTCCATCTCTTTTCCAGAGCAGCGCCGCTGTCTCTGTGGTCATTTCCCGCCCATCACGTCTCAGTGGAGGAGTGTGGCGGGCGGGGGTAAGATGTGAGAGACCTGTAGGAAGAAGAAGCAGGTGGAAAACGTACAGAAAGAGTGAGAGATGTGAATAAAATGTGAAGAGTAGGGGGGTGGCGGTGTATAAATGAGAAGTGGGTATACCTCAGGGAAGAGTTATTACTTTAAAATGCTCCTCTGTGCCACCGTCCTCCCCTCCTCCTTCTATTCTTTTCCGTCCCCTGTTTCCCCCACTGTGCTCCAGGAGGAGGTATGAAAAGGTTATTATGTTTCTTTTAGAAATGCCTCACTCTCCGTCTGTGCCTTTCATCTCTAAATGGAATAACCTCTCTGCAGTGGCTTTCTTCTTATTCTTGCCGCACCTTCATCTCTCTTACCGATAGTCAACACACACTACCTTATTCTCCTTTTGCAGTCTTTCTTTCCTCCCTGCAGCTACCTTTGATCTGACTATTTAATCAGCTTCCCCTTTCCTTCCTTTTCTATTTTCTGGCTCACGGTGTTGAATATAATCAATGTGTTGTTGGCGCGCACCTTATCAAGCGGATGTAGTGCTCCCCGTGCAGCTATCATGTACAGTTTTAATGATGTTTAAGTATTAACAAGCTTTTTTTTTTTTTTTACGTGTCTTCTTCAGAAGGGCGAAGAAGCGAGTGGTCAGGTGGCAGAGGATGGAAGGGAGCAGCTGATGTACGAGATCCCTCTCAACGAGACGGGCTCGGCCGGCCTGGGGGTCAGCCTGAAGGGGAACAAGTCGAAAGAGACCGGAGAAGACCTGGGCATCTTCATCAAGTCCATCATCCACGGAGGGGCTGCTTATAAGGTTATTATGTTTCCCTTTTGGTAACAAGAATTAAATGGTACCAATCCAAAAGATTCATTCTAATCTTCATCTTTGTCTTTAGCTTCGTCATCCCCTATGTCTTTTTTGTTATGTATTTTTTCTTCTTCTCCATGGCTTTCATCATCCTCTTTGTAGTTTTGATTTTTTTATTGTCTTCTCCCTTTTAGGTGGAGATCATCTGCCTCTTTCGCGCTCTATCCCTGCATCCTCTTCTGTCATACCAAGCCCCCAGTTTAACCTCCTTCGTTACATTCATGAACCTCCTCTGTGGTTTTCCTTTTTCCCTCCTTCCTTGCCGCTGCACATTCAACATTCTTTGTCCAACATACTTGTATGTATTGTTCCTCCTCTGCCCAAGTCCAAACCATGTCAGCCTCGTCTCTCAGACTTTGTCTGTAGGTCTCACTACTGTTCTGCAAACCTTCTCGTCACCCATGACACTCGTCTCCACCCTGTCCACCTGTCTCGTTCACGGCCCGGTTGACCCCATGCACCTTACACGTCCACCTTCAGTCCCTTTACTCCTTCCAGATTCACTCTTACACCAGTCTGTCTCAGGCACACGTACAGTACAGGTGCTGGTCATAAAATTAGAATATCATGAAAAAGTTGATTTATTTCAGTAATTCCATTCAAAAAGTGAAACTTGTATATTATATTAATTCATTACACACAGACTGATATATTTCAAATGTTTATTTCTTTTAATGTTGATGATTATAACTGACAACTAATGAAACCCCCAAAGTCAGTATCTCAGAAAATTAGAATATTGTGAAAAGGTTCAATATTGAAGACACCTGGTGCCACACTCTAATCAGATAATTAACTCAAAACACTTGCAAAGGCCTTTAAATGGTCTCAGTCTAGTTCTGTAGCTACACAATCATGGGGAAGTCTGCTGACTTGACAGTTGTCCAAAAGATGACCATTGACACCTTGCACAAGGAGGGCAAGAGACAAAAGGTTGTTGCTAAAGAGGCTGGCTGTTCACAGAGCTCTGTGTCCAAGCCCATTAATAGAGAGATGAAGGGAAGGAAACAATGTGGTAGAGAAAAAAATGTGTACAAGCAATAGGGATAACTGCACCCTGGAGAGGATGGTGAAACAAAACCCATTCCAAAATGTGGGGGGGATTCACAAAGAGTGGACTGCAGCTGGAGTCGGTACTTCAAAAACCACCATGCACAGACATATGCAAGACATGGGTTTCAGCTGTCGCATTCCTTGTATCAAGCCACTCTGGAACAAGAGACGGCGTCAGAAGCGTCTCGCCTGGGACTGCTGCTGAGTGGTCCAAAGTTATGTTCTCTGATGAAAGTACATTTTGCATTTCCTTTGGAAATCAAGGTCCCAGAGTCTGGAGGAAGAGAGGAGAAGCACAGAGTCCATGTTGCTTGAGGTCCAGTGTCAAGTTTCCACAGTCAATGATGGTTTGGGGGTGCCATGTCATCTGCTGGTGTTGGTCCACTGTGTTTTCTGAGGTCCAAGGTCAACGCAGCCGTCTACCAGGAGGTTATAGAGCACTTCCTGCTGCTGACCAACTTTATGGAGATGTAGATTTCATTTTCCAACAGGACTTGTCACCTGCACACAGTGCCAAAGCTACCAGTACCTGGTTTAAGGACCATGGTATCCCTGTTCTTAATTGGTCAGCAAACTTGCCTGACCTTAACACCATAGAAAATCTATGAAGTATTGTGAAGAGGAAGATGTGATACACCAGACCCAACAATTCAGAAGAGCTGAAGGTCACTATCAGAGCAACCTGGACTCTCAGAACACCTGAGCAGTGACACAGACTGATGGACTCCACACCACACTGCTGCAGTAATCCAGGCAAAAGGAGCAACAACTAAGTATTGAGTGCTGCACATGCTCATATTTTTCATGTTCATACTTTTCAGTTGTTCAACATTTCTAAAAATCCTTTTTTAATTGGTCTTAAGTAATATTCTAATTTTCTGAGATACTGAATTTGAATTTGGAGTTTTCATTAGTTGTCAGTTATAATCATCTTCATTAAAAGAAATAAACATTTGAATTATGTCAATCTGTAATGAATGAATATAATATACAAGTTTCACTTTTTGAATGGAATTACTGAAATAAATCAACTTTTTCATGATATTCTAATTTTATGATTAGCACCTGTATATTACCATGCTTCTACTGTGTTTCACTCCACTCTCCAGAGCAAACCTCCACCTCTTTAGACTCTCTTCCACCTCCTTCCTGCTCTCGCTACAGATCACAATGTCATCTGCAAACACGATACTCTACTGCACCGAAAATGATCTGAAATTTAAGTTGAAATTAGCCACTTTCTTTCTAGCTTACATAGGTTTTATTACCCGTTTGTATGGCTCACCGTAGCTCTTACTTTGGCGTCTCATATTCCCCGTTTAATGTCTGTGGCGTGTTAATGTCTTCAGCGACAGTGCTGTGCTCTCAGAGCTCATTAAGTTGATGAGCACGGCGTTATAAACCGTACAAACGATGCCCAAAGCTGCACAAAGAATCTAATAAACCTGATATGTCCTCTTCAGTACGTGTAATTTGTGTCATTGTCTTGCCATAACTCCCACAGTCGGTGACTGGGAATGATCCGGAGTGCAACACTTGAACATTTGAGCAGCCAGACCCTCTAATTTTCAAAAACAAACTCTTGCTTTCTGCATCATTAATCTTATTTATGCTGCACCAATGTTTTAAGTTAGCAGCTATTTTTCTGCCGTTTGCACAAAAAGTTTGTTTGCACACCTTTCTCTGTTTCCTCTCATCCTCTCTGCCTCATTTCCTGTCTTTCTCCAAAGCTCGAACCCCCTTCTCCTGGCTTCCCTTGATCTTTGACACCCGTTGACCTTGAGTGGCCTCGCCACATAAGCGCCGCAGCAGTCTTATCTATATCACTCCGCGCTCACTTCAAGTTTTTTAAGAGCATTGGGGAGAAAACGCAAAACATCCCATTTTAGCACTTTGGAGATTCGTCTACTTGGCTTCGATAATCTGGCACGCGTTAGAACCTCTCCCGTTCCCAGATACGCTAGGCGCAACGAGCAGCAGCAGAGACGACTGCGCCACTGCAGATAACCGGCTGGTCTGGGATCAGGACGGCCAGACGGTGGCTCCCAAAAGGGCCTTCAGAAGTTGTTTTGTGACAGCTGCAGAAGCGGATAGTGTTCAGACAGAAGTAAAAAAAGAAGAAGACTGGAGTGAAATGCCACTTAAGTGGAGAGGCAGGCGTAGGGAGCGAGGGATGAAGCTCACGGGGACAAGAAACCAAGACCGAACGAGTCAAAGACGTGAAAGTGGAGTTGTTGAGCAATAAAGTGATGGGATGAGTTGAAGAAGCTCAAACGTGCGTGTTGATGTTGATGCATGCTAATGAAAAGCAGCTAAAGCGTCTGATAAGGAGGGAAAAGGACGTCCCCCGAGTCTGACTGGCACACATCGACTGATAACGCACAAATAAATGGGAGGAGACGAGGACGAGTCGTGGAGAGATCTAACCTATTTCCATTACACAGTTTTTGTGGCTGTCGGGGCCCAGAGGCCTCAATTATATGAAAAAAAAGTTCCGTAACTTTATCCCCCGATCCCGTCATGGGATCGTTTCAAAGAAGACCACAGATTAAATTTACATGTCGCGTTGACACAGTTACCAAAATGAAAAATTACCAGAGGAACTGAAACGGCTGAAAATATTTAATCTCTCAACTGTTGATGCGAGTGGAATTTGAACAGCTGACATTTGCTGAAAGCGGGAAAATAAAAACCGAAAGCAGCCGAAAAACGGCAGAATTGTGTAGATATATCGGGAATACAGCAGAATAAGATGAAACAAACAGAGAAGCTGACAAGATTACAAACAAAAATCTGAAATTGGCAGGAGAAAAGCTAAAATTATTAAAAGGTAGATGAAAAAGCGAAATAGCTGAAATAAAGCTGAAAGGAGCTGACGGACAAATCTGAAATGATCACTAACGGGTTATAAACAGCTCAAACAGTCTGAAGGATGTGGAGAGCTCCATTCATTTTCAGTGAGGACAAACATGGCCGACAAAGCTAAATATTTCAAAAAGTAAGAATTGCACAAATATCAAAAGTCGGAGCAGGAATGTCCTGAATGAGCCAAACATTTTGAGACTTGAATTGTTGAAACAGAACATAAATTGTAGGAAGAGTTACGTGTTTAAAAAAATGTACAAAAAAAAAGCGGAGCTCAACTGGATGAATTACATTTCCTGCTAAAATGCTTATAGCTGAAGAACTTGCTGAAAAACAGCTAAATTTTTGCTGAAATGGAAGAAAAAGTCTAAATTGGCAACAGAACGCAGAAAGAACATATATTTGCTAAATTAGGTTTAAATAAGAAATGAGCACAAAATAATGAAATTTAAAAAAGCACCAAAAAAAAATAACTGAACAGTAGCCGAAAAGCAGAAAGAAGCTTAAACTATCAGAAGGAAGCGGAAAGAGCTGAAATAATAAAAAAAAAAATTAGGTATTGGATGAAAAAGCTAAAATTATTATAAAACGGCTAAATATTAGCCGAAATAGCATAACAATCTGAAAGTTGCAGAATTTACCATGAAAATCTTGAATTCATCGAAAAACAGCTGAAATTAGCAAAAAAATGTTAAACGTAGCTGAAAATGTATAACAAGCTTAAATTAACAGAAGAAAGTGGAACGTTTGCCCACTTAGGCTGATGAAGCAAAAATTATCACAAGAAAGTGTAAATTATATGAAAAGCTGAAATTAGCAAAAACATCTGAAAAAGTTGCTAAAAAGACAAAAAGAAGCTTAAATTACCAAAAGAAGGGGGAGAGAGCACTTTTTTCTGCATTTGGCTGAAAAAAGTTAAAATGAGTTAAAAAAAATGGAATTGTCTGAAAAGCTGAAATTAGCATAAAACAGCTACATTGTAGCTCAAGTAGTAGTAATAGTAATAAAAGGATTATTGAGCATGGATTTTGTTGATCTGAAAAGTAGCTAAAAAGGCAAAAAGAAGCTTAAATTACCAGTGGAGAGAGCACGTTTTTGATGAATTTGGCAAAAGAAAGTTTAAATGAGTGCAAAAAATGTGGAATTAGCTGAAAAAGCTGAAAATAAAATAAAACAGCTAAATAGTAGCTGAAATGGCAGAAAAAGCTGAAACTTGCAGAAATAAGCTGAAAAGGAACAAGCTGAAATTAGCAAAAAGAAGTTAGAAGAAAAAATGTTGTTCAGCGATAATCTGAAAGGAGCACAAAACAGCTGAAAAAACAGTTGAAATTAGCTGAAAGTAGCTGAAAAAGTTTAAATTTGCAGGAAGCTGAAAGAAGCTGAACCAGAACAAAATGTCAAAGGAGCAGTAAAAGGTTTGAGCATTCGCCCATTAATCAACAGATCTGGAGATTTGAAGGATGTAAAATGACTCCATTCATTTTCTATGAGGAAAAAAGTCAGAAAAGGCTAAATATTTCAAAAAGCTAAAGTTGCACCAATACCAAAAGTCACGGCAGGATTGTCCTGAAAGAGCTGAACGTTTTGATTCATGATTTATTGGAATAGCTTAAAAACTGAGGGACGAAAATCGCGCCAATAAACGTACATAAAACAGGATCACAACAGAGTGAACGCTTCATAAACATTCAGACAAAATTCATAAACGTTCCCTCAACAATCTGTTTTCACGACATCCGTTGAATCGACGCTGTCCCAGTATAGATCTGAGGTCAGACCAGGCGGTGCCCTGCTAATGACATGGAGGTCAAAGGGCGGCAGGGGGCTATCATGGGACGCTCAAGTTTCCTCACCAACTTAAGGGAGACTTTAGTTCTTCTTTCGTTCTTTCTTCCGTATCTTTCTCTCCTGGTTTGATCCCTTCCATCCTTTTCCTCCCTGCGTCCCCGCAGGGCAGTTTTCTGCACCGCCTCCCTACGAGAGGCTGCTATTTAAAACACTTAGAAGTGATTTAGTGCTCGCAGAGGCTATTCCATTAGCTGCTTTATGTATTTATCATGGCTCTCCCACTCTGGGTAGATTGCTAACTCCACAATTTTCTTCTCGCCTCCCTTCCCCCCTTTTCATTTTCATTTCTTTTTTTTTTTCCCCCGCACACAAACTCGTTTCTTTCTCGCTCATTCCTGTCCTTTCCAGGTTTAAAACTTAACCAGCCGCAGTTGTTCACTTTTACACGATGCCATGTACTTCCTGGTCGTTTGATCAACAACATATCAAGAGTTTGAACTGTGACAGAGTTCTGTTTTTTAGGAAAAGTAAGGTAGCAACACGTATAATGGGTCAGGGCCATCTTTCCCTCTGTGAACCCCCATTAGACACTTGCCGACATTAATGTAGCTCTAAGCTGGCGGCACGCAATACAGACACGCTAGCTAAGATGCTACAGACATAGCGTTCCGCGTATCCTAACCTCACCCCAGTCTACAATTACCCGCACTAACGTGGTGCTAAGCTAGCATGCAACACAGAGGTGTCTCCTCCTCCTCAACCCGCCCCGTCAAGTGGCCTTGGGGAAACACTGTATGCGGTGTGGTGTTGTTGAAGGTAACCAGGAAAACCCGGAGTGGATTTTTAGTGGTTTGAGTATTCTCCTATTCGTTTTTTCAACCTTTATTTATACAGATAAATCACACTGAGCCTCAAAGACTCATTAACAAGCGAGTCCTGTTTAGACGGACAAAAAGTAATGAGAGTGACACGTATAGGATTTGGAGGCAAAACAAATTCCTATCAAACTCTCACTCCTTGGCCGAGGAGAGAGAACCTGATATTGAAAAAATACCCCGCACATAGTGACGCAGACATTCCGCAGGGGAGGGGAGATGACGAGAGCGGTGAGCGTGTCCAAGGACACTCCAGAGGCACTGTAGGAGTTCTTATAAGAATGGTACAATCAGTCAGTTCCCTCTGGTGAGATCCGTAAACACTCTCGAGGGGTTCCGAGGTCGGCTTAGGACAGCGCCAGAGAGAATCCAAGAGTCCTGAAATGATGACGCAATGTTTATTCAGCCGGGTCCCTCTGATAGGTCTGCAGACTTCCTCGGTGGGAGAGAAGGGGAGGGGACACTATTAATCAAGTGGAATGGATTTGTTCACAAAGAAAAGGAAACCGTGGACTAATATTTCATGGTAAATGTGGGGAGGTCCAAACAAAATTTTTGAAATGTGAGGGGGACATGTCCCCTTCATGTATAATAGTTGTGATACCTATGGTTGTAACGGATGCAGTTTGTGGTTTAGCCATCATCTTGCTGAAATACTATTTCGGCTGGAGAAGTGGTTCTAAAACCCGTACATGCATTGATGGAGCCTTTCCAGATACAATTTTTTGACACATTTTATGTATTTTCATTCATCTTTCCCCAACAGGATGGCCGGTTGTCCATTAACGACCAACTGATTGCTGTGAACGGCGAGTCGCTGCTTGGGCGCTCCAATCATGCCGCCATGGAGACACTGAGGCGATCCATGTCGTCAGAAGGAAACGCCAGAGGCACCATACAGCTGGTGGTCCTCCGAGTACCAAAACAGGTTAAAGCAATCACCTAGTTTCTAAATTTGTTTGATGAATGCTTCTAGTTGTACTTCATTATACCGAACAAACGTCTGACAAAAGGTTCTGAAAACACTGAGGCTGCAAACTTAAAAAAAAAAAACCAAAAAAACTTGTGCCATTCTCAAACATTTTGGCCACGACTGGAAGCCATTTTGGTCACAGTTTGTTTGACAACTTCTTCTTTTTTCAGGCGCAGAGCGGCAAGTCTTCAACGAGTCTCTCCTCCGGCCAGCCCGACATCCCCGCAGGCTCCACCAATCAGGTACGAGTTGGTGACGTCTGCCAGCTGCAGCTCGCCCGGCCTCGCCGCTCCTCCTCCTCCCTCCTCCTCACGCTCAGGAGGAGAGCGTCTGAGCCGCTGACTCAGCGTTACGTACAGCGGCCGGGGGAGACCCACACCAGATACACCTACAGGTTTAACCAATCGCAGGAGGGGGGCGATAAAGGGAGGAGCACGCCAAACGCTCTGCCCAGATCAAAGTGCAGAGCTGTCTCGGTCAGCCAGTCTCTGAGCAGGCCCAAAGACGGAAACTTAAACCGGGACAGGAAGCAGCGTCTCGATAACGCACACGCTCCGCTAGCCGACTCGCAGGCGAACGCGCGGCATGCTCACAGGCGCAAGTCCAGACACGCGCGCAGCCGCACGCTGGACGACGTCCACAGAGACGACGACCTGTACGTGGAAAATATCCGAGCCGTGGCGGGGCGGATGTACGGAGACCCGCCCACACTCGCCATCAGAAACGCCCACTTACACAAGTCCACGCGCAACCGTGTCACGAGCAGGCAACACGTCCGGCTCTCAGACGGACTCTGATGCGAGTTGAAATCTCCATTAATAATTATTTATGTATTTATTTAAATAACATCAGTCCTTCACCGTTTCTCTTCTGTCGCTTTGAATCACTGAACTTTTCTGGGGCTTTCTATCCTGTAAGGGATGTTTCTACTTCCTGCTTGTTTTGTAAAGTTTTGTACGGACTTTTTCTTTTCTTTTTTTTTTTTTTAAGAATGCAATTTTGTTTTCCTGTCTTGCCTGCCTGTTCTTGAAATAAAGCTGATCCAAAGCCTCCTGCATGCCCGCCTTTCTGCGTTTCTGTTTCCTCTGTGTTTCTGAAGCATTTGGTTTCCTGATTCCTTCTGTTCTCTCCTCTTTCTGCGCTGACCTCAACGTTAGTCCTCGAACCTTGTTACCATCATTTAATGCTCGCTGCACGTAAAGTTTCTACTTGTTGAAATCCCAGTTCTTATGCGACCATCAAAAAGCAGACATTATGGTTTAGTCTTTGTGTGCACATACATTTTCTGTTGTCCAGACCAGCACTTCTGATCCGCTCAAGATAATATAATGAAACTTCATATACGTTTGTATCTTTATTTTAATAATTATTATTTTATTTAACTTTTATTTATCCAGGTAAGTGTCACTGAGTCACGAGGATTCTTGTTGTTGACGGATAACATTTACTACAGACAACAATATACAACAATAAAAATCTATTTAAATAAAAATAGTGTTATAAATAGGGAAGTCTGGGCTTCCCTACTTAAGCTGCTACCCCCCCGCGACTCGACCCCGGATAAGCGGAAGAAAATGGATGGATGGATAGTGTTATAAAAACATCTTTACTTTTAGCAGCATGGTTTTGTTAGCAGAGTGGTTCTGTTATTAGCAAAGTCCTGTTAACAGTGTGGTCCTGTTAGCAGCAAGGTGCTGTTATCAGTGGTATTCTGTTAGCAGGATGGTCCTATTACCAGAGTAATTCTCTTAGCAGTTAGGAGGTTCTCTTAGCAGTGTGGCCCTGTTAGCAGTGTGGTCCTATTACCAGAGTGGTTCTCTTAGCAGTAAGGTACTGTTAGCAGTGAGATTTTCTTGGCAGCATGGTCCTGTTGGCAGCATGGTCCAAGTAGTAGCATGATACTGTTACCATTGTCGTTCTGTTAGCAGCATGGTCCTGTTAGCAGTGTGGTCATTTTAGCAGCGTGGCTCTGTTAGCAGTGTGGTCCTGTTAGCAGTGTGGTCA